TTAGAAACTTGATGTCATCTCCACCTGGAGGAGCTAAAAAAATTGTATAAATGTGAATGCAAATGTGCTGGGAAAATAGTTACATCCTAAGTAAGGCATATATGGAGCCCTTTGCTTCACACACAGCATGACCTCCAAGAGTCCAGAAACAAGGGCTTCCCCTCTGAGCCACAGCCCAGAATCTGGGACCACATGCAGGTTTGGTTGTTGCTTTGAGGGCAACAATCCAGCCTGTTTGGGTATTGCCTACCTATGCTACACAGATCTGCACCCCTCTGGAGGCACAATGCCAAAGGAAATCAATGTACCTGCTAAGCATCTTGTAAATTTAAGGAAAATGAGCTTACATGAGACAAGACTTGTGTCATTAATGTGTCATTTCTTCTCTCCTGTGCAGTGGGAATGAGGGAACACAGCTCTACAGTCATCCTACACTGTCTGAGTCACCAGCTGAGTCCATTTGCATTATCCCATATGTTCAGCTTTTGGGGAGAAGAGCTGTGCATTGGTAAGAGCAGACTAACCTTCCTCTTCCAAAGCTGGCATATGAGGATTTGGATAAGCATGTTTTTTTACTGAAAAGTAATTAACTTGCCACTCTTCTAGAAGCAAAAGATATCTTATTCTTTTTCTTCCTGCAGTCTGATAGCATTATTTGTTCTTTGCATTTAATATGATTATGCCCAACTACTCCAGGGTGCACGAAGCTCCAAAGAGCAGCAAATTGAATATTTTTTTCAAATTACTCCCAATGTTGCCTAAATGCAGCAGAGAAATGTACTATAAAGTACCAGTAAAAAATAATATATACTTGAGCAGAACTTTTTTCTGCCCATTTCAGAGGTGCCTAATCTTTTAAACAATTAGACACATCAGAACATTTAGATTGGCTTACTTTTGGCAAGTTATCAACTTCATGCTCAACAAATACTGCCACACAATAGTTTCTGTCAGTGAAGACAAAATGTGGAAATGGATAGCATAGGAGGAACCATATATTCCTGCATCATTCTTCCTCCTCCTACTGCTGAATTTTGGAATGTAACATCCACCATTGCTGCGATGGCTCCTCTGCCTGCCATAGAGCATTCACACTGTGGTGTACTAAATGACCCATGTCCACCTATAGTGTTTCACAGCTGTTGTGAAGGAAAGACCAGACTCCCTGCATGAGGACTTTCTAGCTCGAATAATCAAAATCACTAATTTTTGTCTGATCTTTAAAAACTTTGATTCATTGTTTCTCTTTTTTTTCTTTTCTCCTCTCCAGAGTTACCTACCTTCACCTACTGCATCATGTCACAGAATCACAGAATCTTCTGAGTTGGAAGAGACTCAGAAGGATCATAAGTGCAACTCTTAAGTGAATGGCCCACACAGGTGTGTTATTAGCTCCAGGCTCTAACAAACTGAGCTAGTCTATCAATCTCCTGATTTTACCTCTTGCAGTTATACATGGTTTCTTCTTCTTGCCAGTCAGGAACACCACGCCGCTATGGGGAGATACAATATAGACATTGCAGGTTTCCCTTCATGTGTCTCCACACTGGTTTTGCTGCACACAGCAGCCATGGCAACTTCACCTTTCACTGGAACCGTTTATGCTCTTAGGTTTTCTGGTCCTTTGTTTCAAAGTTTTATTTAAGAAAATTAAATTTGAATAGCTTCTGAGACCAAGATAAAGGGAAAGACAAATGAAGAGGACTCTAAAGCAAGTTCTCTCTATTCTTCTTCCAAATAATCCATTCTTTTAGTTTTGAAATCATTTTCAATATCTTTGCTACTGTGCTGGTTTAAAAGTTAACCAGCAAGGCAAAATTAACTCAATTCAAAAGAGAGATTTATAAGTCAGAATAACAATTTATTAAAATAATGCAATAAGTACAATTATACAGACAGACAATTGGTTTTAATCCACAAAACCCAAATGTACAAACCCAGCACCCTGGGGTATGAACAAAAGTGGTGTACCTTGGCCCACCCCCCGAGTCCAAAGCAAAGGGAGAGGGAATAAACCTGCTGGTGGGAGAGAGCTGCTGCAGTCTGGTCAGAAGTGGTGATTGCAGTCCAGTCGAGGGTGGTGGTCTCAGCCTGGTTGGGAGCAGCGGTGGTCTGCTGTCTTCCTCTGGGTCCCACGAGAGAGAGCCCCAAGGCTCTGAAACTCCCAGTTATATACTCTCCAGTTCAGGCGGGAGTGCTCAGTCCCTCCCTCAGAGTAGGGAATTCCATAAAAGGGCATGTGGATGCTCAGTCCCTCTTATCAGAGCGGGGAATTCCATATAAGGATATCAGAGCGGGGAATTCCATAAAAGGGTACAGGAACATCTTCCCACCTTGCAGGCCTCTACTGACAGCAGTTTTTGGGAAATGGCATGGAGGCTATAGAATACACAGTTTTGGGTTACACCCATCCAGGGATGAATTGGTCCCAGCCGTTCTAACCAGGACAGCTACTTATGAAGCATGCTGTGGTGCAGTACGACAGTATGACTTAAAAAAAAAGCCATTCAAAATGTTAAGAAAGAAGAAGAATGTTTTATCATATATTAGATAAAAAATTGTCTTACAATAATAATATGAGAGCATTTCATATTAAAGTACAGAGAAGACTCAATTTCTTTCTCTGTAAAAAAGTCTCTTAAATCACTGAAAGTTCTCAAAAACTTTTCAAGGTCCCAACTAAGGAAAACAACAAAGTCAGTTACAGGAATCAATCAGCTATTCCTTCACCACAGAGGAATTGCTAGGATTTGATCTTGCCTTTTTTTTTTTTTTAAGCTTTTGAGATTCAATCATAGAAGTATTTTATTTCATCATTCATTTCAGAGTTTGTTTATTCTCAGCATGGGCAGTGGGGTGGGGAACTAACAATCAACACCAAATTTCAGAGAGATGGCATGACTTTGTAGAGGTTTTAAAGTGTTGTGTTCTGGAGAATTACCTTAATTCTAGATGTGGTACCACAGACAGCCCATGGCTTCAAAATCTGTGGCTAAACAGCATTTCAGCAAAACCAAATGTCAACAAACCATGGCAGTGACAGTGACTGAGAAATACTCAAGGGTAGAAAAGCTAATAGTGATGGAAAACCTGAATTAGCCCTGTGTAGACTGGAGAGTACTGGAGCAGGGCCCGGTATAGCCTTTTGCAGCACCATAAGCACTACTTAGATCAAGTAGCTGGCAAAGCCACAAGAGAAGTCACTCTTGGTTAGTCCTGAAAGCTGCACATGATCTGGCGTATGATGTAGTTACTGAAAAGCCTCTTAGTGCCAATAATACGCTTGAGCTTAAAAGCTCAAGGAATGGGAGCACAAAAAAACACCAAACCCAAAAGTTCAGTGTAAAAAATTTTAACCGTAGCAAAGAGAAATCTGTAAGTATAAGAAAGCAAGGTAAGAAGAAGGAAGAAGAGGAAAAAAAAAGGTTACTGTGTTTTCAAGAAGCTTGGACACTACCTAAATAATTCTTATCAGAGTTTCAAAATTAACCTGTACAGTCAGTCAGAAAAAACTTCAAAAAAATTTCCCCCTCTCTTTCATATAATATATAAATGAGCACTTTCACAGTGGTTTTAAGCAAAACATGGTGGTTCTACAACATTTCTTTTTATCTGATCACATTCCAACCTATGAATCATTCACTGCTGTTAAATATTGAGCAATGGTGCATATGGATCCCTTCTTATCGTGACTGGTACTGATTATCTGTATTGGTCTAGACCAATTCCCTCCTCTGAATGACTCCAACATCTTCTGGAGAGGTCTGAATATTGCTCAGACACTCAGAGGTTTCTCCAGTCCCTAGAACAGCCTGGTCCAAAGCTCCGGGTCTAGACATGTCCCAACTTGGGAGGGTTCAGATTCAAAACTTAGACCTTGGAATTTCACTGCTTGTGCCCCCGTGCCCTGCTGTTACTGGCCCTGGCAGCTGGAGGGCCCTTTTTTAGTGACCCGTCTCTTGTTGCTTATGTAGATGGGGCACAGTCCCACCTGGATCAAGAGCATGGATGCTATGTGGAGACTCCTGCTCCAGCAGCTGGAGAGAGGGTGTGCTGTGCTGGCGAGAGAGAGGAGTTTAAAGATTCCTGATCTTTGCTTACATAAGCACAGGACTGGGTTTTGCCAAGAGCAGATAAGAGGAAATTGAGCTGGTGAAGTATGGCTGTGAAATGCATCACGTTCTGCTTAGGATTGCACTGTCATTAAGGCAGAGAATCTTCACAAAGCTGAACAAATTCTGGATTTACAGGTGACTCTCATCTGCCATCTTGGTGTAAATCTGGGGTAACGTCAGTAGAGATAGGTAAAAACATCTGAATAAACAGAGGGTAGGTGAGATCAGAGCCCAGAAAATTTATGAGTAGAAAGATAATTGATTACCTTGTTCTGAAGAGTCCTTGAGCCTCTAAGTGAGCAGTCTGTAGGAGCCATGCCTTTCCAGACAGGCTCTCCATATGGTGAAGAAAGCCCTGCCTTTCCTGGGTGTGGAGCACACTCAAGCTCTTTGCAAAGGTGAGTGAGAGGCCTATTTATGAAGTCAGGAAGACATTGACATGGAAGTTGTGATAGCTTAAGCCTACAAACTTAATAGGGTTTTGCTAATACAGGAGAGTGTGTTGGTGCTTGTGTATGGATATGTTGTAATACTGCAGGTAATCAAAATCATAGTGAGCTGAGCCAGGGTAAGTAAGCAAATCTGCTGAGTGGAATACCCAGCTCCTGGGCTTAATGCAGGGAGCAGGTCCATGCTTTTACAGGTGTGCCTGACTCCAGAGCTAACAACTTGGTGTGTAAGGCAATCCAGAGTCGACAAAGCACGTGGCTGGGATCGTGTGTGCTGGCTTTTGTACTGGCTGCTGCTACTGGAAAGAGTATGTGGATAGCTGTCGTCAGAGTTGTACCAAAGGAAAGCTCAAAGGGATGATGCCAGCTTGGCTTTGTTTTTTTTCTATCACTCAGCTGCACTGAAGCCTGACGCCTCTGGTAGCCAGTAGTGGAGCAGTGAGAAGCTGGTTTTGTGCTGCGCTTTTACGGGAGAAGCCTGGCTGCATTAACTCTTACTAAAACAAGCACCTAGACAACTCGCACAAAATCCAGTGATGGAGGTCAGCTCCACAGAAGCCAGCAGCAGCTCCCAGGGAGGCACCGGCTGGCTGGATCTTACCCTTGTCACCTGTACTGAAACGGTGACTTTCACTGAAGTGGTGAGAGAAGAGGAGTGGGGATCCTTTTACTATTCCTTTAAGGTATTCTTTTAAGGCGTGCATTACTTTTCTCACATGCTTGCAGCTTTGGTGCATTTTCAGCAATTGTGTGGGGAGGCAACTAGGATTACTGAACTTTTTTTTCCCAGATATCGGTTGTTTTTTACCCTGCAAAGACAGCTGACAACATGTGTGAGGCATTTACTGAAAAGCAAAGTACTTGTAGGAATTGGAGAACATGTCTTAGCCAACTGTATCCCCTCCCAAGAGAGGACAGTACTGTTTTTTTGTAGAGGTATTGTAATTATACATGCATCTTTAATCAAAAGCTTGTATGATTTTAACACATTTTAATGTAATTTCTTATAGGCATCATCTTGACATAAGGGATTTCTTTTTGATTTTCCAGCTATAACAAACATTGCACAAAAGTGAGAGGAGGTTTTTTGCTGGTTTTGTTTGTTTGTTTGGGTTTGGTTTTTTGTTTGGTTTGGGTTTTTGTGGTTGTTTGTTTGTTTGTTTTTATCATGAGGGAAAGGTTCTAATTAGTTGGTTTGTTTGTTTTTAACTTGAGCAAGGGATGTAGTCTCTTAAAGGCTGCTGTTAAGAATGCACCAGATGAGTCATTCAGTAGTGAATGCTGCTGAGCGGCATGGGAAGTATGTTCATTCGTCTCCAAAACCAACCATCACCCTGGCAATATGTGAATGTAGGAAAAAGATTAAAGAGGTACTGAAATTTGCCTTTCCTTAAGATTTCTATGCCTATTGCTGTTGCTTAATTTCATGCTGATTGCCATGTCTCCCTTTACTGTTATGGCATGTTGTACAAGTTAAGTTCAAGTTATTAAAAAGTCTGACAAGGAGTACCCTGTTGTTCCTTCTGGAGCTCAGGACCAAAGAGATGAATTTCAACTGGAAAGACGCAGGCATTTATATCATTTCACAACATGTGAGGTAAAAGGGGATATATTCAGAAGCAATTTTTATAGCTGTGAGACTGGTAGAGCTCAGACACAATGCTGGTGGAATCAGTGGACTTACTGCAGGTTTCCACCCCTCATAAAGAAAGAGATGATCTCTGGTTCTATTCTTAATTAATGAGGGCATCTTTTAACATGCTGCTGATATATTTTTTTATTGTTAAAATAGTACTTTCCTATTTAGGATTTCAGAGTAGAGAATTCTTTTTTTTTCCTTTTTTTTTTCCCCTTCTCCATGTTAGACTCCTAAAATGCTTTTGAAAAAAATATCAGAAGTGACAAGCAAAATACTTTTAACAAATACTTTTAACAAATTTCTCTTTATCTCCTTTCTTCTTTTCATAGTTAGGGCTGTAAATCTGAGCAATGTCATGGGAGCAGTATTTTATAATGGTAAAAGTGACAATTAATTCCATGATTAGAAAGTCCCCAGGCAGAAAAATGCTTGTTAATAGGAGAGATTGAGTAAATTACAATAATTAGGAAACCATGGATAGTCATGCATGCTCACCCATTGCTAAAGGAAACTTGGTTCTGTTAGATGAGAGCTTCTCATTAGATTTGCACTACTCTGCCTGGCTCTGGCATATATAGTGTGAACTTTACAAGGAGATTCACTGATTTCACATCAATTACGAGCTGTTGATAGGCATGGAAATATTTTGACTCTGGAGACAAGTGACAGCTGGTGCAGCTGTAGGAAAGGAAGGAGAGAACACCTGCTCTGATGACTAGAGTGCAAGGAAGACAGGGCTCCCTGCCAGCAGTTTCAGTGCTCTGGAAAAGCTCATGTGTGGAAGGTATGGCTGGTACCTGTTGACTCAGTTGGCTGTCCTCCACCAGCTCTGCCCATGTTGTGGCCGTGCCCTTACCCCCTCCAGCAAGCCAAACAGCATCTCCTTCCTCTTCACAAGGGTCTGGTTAAGCAGCTAAAGCAATATAAGTTTCAGTTTGGAATAGGCTGTATGAATTTGAAAAACAGAGTTCTATGTTCAAAATGTAGCTACAAATAGCGTTTTGCCCTTTTATTGGGATTTTCAAACACACTGTAGCCTCTAGCTGATTGTAAAGGCAGCTGGATGAGCGGCCACCACACAGGTTGATCTCAGAGCTTGTGTGCCAGGGTGCAGACAGGGCAAACAAGCTATTTCTTTTCGGAAAATGCAGGTGTAATGTATCTTATCAAAGCAGTCAGAGGAAAACATGATCTAACCTAATATATGGAGACCAGGGAGTGACTCTCACCCAGTACCTGTGTTAATGACTTTTTAGCAGTTTAATCCAATGACAGCTTTGTAGGATACCTCACATGCTGCTCAAACTATGGGAGCGTGCACTGGTTTCTTCTTTTCCTCCCATGCTTCAAAAGGACAACCTTTACCCACCTAAGGTATTATCTGTATTATACTGTGATGGCAATGTGACAAAAGTAAAATAATGTGCCTTAGTGGCAGAAAGTCTTGTTATAGGCTGACCTGTGAGTGCTTCCCTTTCGGAAGCATTGGAGTTTCTGTCTATTCCTCTGCTTAACAGCTAAATCCTGCAGTGTTTCAGATTAGAGTGTGTTTTGCCAGTTCAGTCCTAATTTTTTTTTTTTTTGGCTCAAGAATGGAGCATTTCCTTCACTTGGAGGAATGCACATTTTCTTCTGGTGGTCATTACTGTAGAAGGGCCAGCTGCTCACCAAGGCTCTGCTAACAAAGTCTGTTTTGGGGCCATGTGGGCTCCCTAGGGTGGCTCTCAGCATGCAGAGTTGTAGCTTTTGGGGCAGGACTGTGTGTACCCATGCACCACTCCCCAACAAAGATGAGCTGGTGCTTCCATGGCAAAGGCACTGCCTCATCCCCACTAACATTCAGGTCTCGCTGCTGTGTTATGACAAATGGTCCCTGAAAGCCCAGATGCCTTTCCAAGAAGCATCCAGGTAGGTTAGTTTTAAACCACAAGGAGTTCTGTTGTCTGTTTCAGCACCTAATTCAGAACAGATGTGTATATTGGTATTAATTACAGCTTCAACCTTCCAGGCCAAAGGAGTGTTCATTACATCCCTTTACAATCTCCTCCACATGTGTTTAATCTATGCGTAGAAGGGCCCTAAGTGAGTGTCAACTGCCCCCTGCTAAATGAAGTAGTCTAGAAGGAACAGAGGTTATCTGAACACCTATGGCCTTTCTCCACTTAAGTCTACAAGCCTGACAAGGTACAAACCAGAAACCTGTCTGGGGAGAAGCTGAAATCTCAGAATAGGTTTGCCCCAGTTGTCTACAGAGTTGGAAGGCTTTGTCAGGACTGGAGGAAGCAGCTCCTCTTGCCAAGTACTCACCACCCCAGAACCTTCCCCAATGGTAGGAGAGGATTGAGTAGGGATCATCTCTCTTTTAAGAGGTCTGCTGAGAAATGGGATGCCCTACTTTTATGCAGTAGTGTAAAGGTTGGAGTGCTCAAAAGGAGAAAATTCACAGTTGCTATTTCTGTCTTGGTGGCACCGTGTTTCCACCATCATCTCCTGCCTCCCAGCAGAGAGGGCTGACTTCCATCAGGTAGATAATTTTCTTATTTTGTTTTCTGCTGCGTAGAGCTGAATCCTCCCCTGAGCAGCAGGACACAAAGGTTTTGTTGTTTACACCCACGGTCGCTGGGAACCCCAATGCTCTGCTTTGCCAAGTGGGAATCCCAGCCACTGGTCCACACGTTGGCACCGCCCCCCGGGCCCATGAGCCCTGGTCATGAGCCCAGCATCGCCACAGCAATGACGCTGCAGTGTTAAAGCTCTCAGGAGGAAGTATGTGCATACCAAAACCACAACAGATTATTTTAAACATATAATGTAAATTCCCAGTTTGTTTCAGGAAGGACTGTTTGATTCTCTGCCTGAAAATGTCCTCTCCCTACACTGTAGCATTCCCTGTACCTGCATGTTTAAGCCCATGTAGCTCAGATATTAAACAGGACATCACAGCCTAGACTGAGTAAGGACAAATCTAGGAGCACGTGCTGCTTATCCATGGAGTCTCTTTACAAAGGGCCTGCCATCTTCAGCAAAGAGCTGAGGAGACCAACATGATAGGTTTTGTAGGACTATCAGGTACCATGGATTTGGCCCCAGGTGTCCTCAGAGCCTGTTTAAGTCAGAATCTGGTGTCCTTATCCTTTCATTCAAATACAGGGGTTGCTTTATCTCCTGGAAAGCATTTGCTTATGCTATTGTTCATTCTGATTTTCTAGCAAATATACAGAGCATCCCATGCTTGAATACATAATAGGAAAATAATAATGGGTGCTGTCAAATTTCTGGAGTAATCTCTGCAAATGCAATCACACATTTTATAAAATAGACATATCAAATAATTCAGAGGTAACTTTGCAATCTTTCAGTGTGGGGAAAGGAGGAGAATTAAGTTTACACAAATAAGGTGTCAGGAACCCCTGAACACAGCCTCTGTAATATGCCATGATGACTGTTGTTATTCCTGAGATGCTGAGCTGAGAATGTAATAGCTGATCTCCTTGTGAAACTGCTGCTGCAGTGCTGTTGGCCAGGCTGGCTTCATCTAGCAGCTTAAATGCAACACAGAAGGGATCTGGCAGTATGACATCCCAATTGGGAGCTGCGCTGAGCCAACTGATTTGGGCAGTTTTGTACTAGCAACCCTCATACTACTGTCTCTATGGTCCATACAGCCACATGATTTGCATCTGTCTGCCTCTCCTATATAAATATGCCTGGAAAGTAATATATTTTACATTTTTTGAGATGTTTTACTTGTGCAGGTTAGGCATACTTAATAATTTTACTCTTGTTTGTGATTAGGAAAAACAGCATTTCACAGTTTTAAATATGGCTGTCAAAGTTATACAATTATGGATGGACCATTGAGTGACCTAATATTATCTCTTCATGTTGAAAAGTCCTACGAAGAAAATAGATAGGTACACCAGTAAAAATATATCTTTTCTGAAGACATTTAAATCGGGAATGTCTGTTTATCTAATTCTGTGGAAGTTTCCTAAAGTGCAATAGGTAAAAACATCCTGCAATAACTGGATGGAATTGTCCCCA